CGGGGGGGCTGGAAGCCCCCGAAATGCAGATTGTCCTCATTAAAACCGAAGCACCGATCCTCCTAACGGGAGGCAGAGCTGTGGAACACATCCGAAGCTTTATTGTGCTGTGTTTCTGACATGATATTTAAAAAGGAACAGCTACGGCTGTCACTGCTGTCAGACGCCGGCACTAACCGGAGACACGTTAAACTAAACATTAGAAGGAGATCAGCAAGCCATCTGCACGGGAGCCAGGGGGAAAGACGAGGGGGACGGGGGCCGTGCATTCCTGCGAGAGGCAGAGGCTGGGGGCTTGACGGACAGGCAGCGCTGCTCAGCTCCCGGCCAGCCCACCTTTCCCGAGACAGCTCTTTGTGTGCAGGATGTGAGCCGGCCGTGGGTGGCAGCCGCTGGGAGAAAGGAGCTGAACTGGGTTAATGAGGGAAGAGGCTGGCATTGGGTTCGGCTGCCTCGAGCTAAGAAAAGATTTGCCCCTGCGCGGTCTTCCAGCAAGGCACCCTTCGGCTGTTAAGCAGAACGGGGTGGTTGCCTGGCCCCAAACCAGTTGTCGGGGGCATCGCCGTTCGTCGGGAGGGGTGCCCGTTGGATGGAGGGGTGTGGATTGATCTTTAGGGAAAGGAGAATCAGACAGCTTGGCTGGCACTTTTTAAAATTGTTAACGGATTGGCTCATGCCCCTGAGAATCTGCACGTTGCAGGTCTTAAAATATACCCCGTGCACCATTTGCTCCTTTGTCTTTGGGCACGAAACCAGCCTCTCCCTAAATCAGAAAGGCACGACCTGTTTTAACCGGGATTCTTCGGGTCAGGCTGCAGGGCCGGCCGAGGGACTCCAGAACGGGGTGTGTTTCTCGGTCCTTCTTCCACAGGGGGTCAGGGAGGGAAGGCCCAACCGTAGTTAACTCCACGTCCTGAATTAGGAGAAGCTATTTCCGCTTTACTCGATGGAGTGAAAGAAGAGGTCCCTCTTGAACTGAGCCTAGCCAAACCCTGCTCTGGGTTGTGTGATGAGGAAAAAGCAGGACGAACTTTTCATCAGTAAATTAAAGAATCAGACTGAAACTAATCACCAGCTCCTGTTACATAGGAGAAACTTTTCTATCAAGCCTTGATTAAGATTTGCTTGATCCGTCTGCTCAGAAGAACGCTGGAGCCATGGCTTCCATGGATTTAGATGGAGCCTCCGTTGATGTTCTTCAGAACCTTTGTGGCTTTCCTGCATTGGTTTTTTTTAGAAGGTGGTGGATCCCAGGTGGACATTTGTGAGAAGTTGCATCAGCTCCCATTGAAGCATATCCTCAGGAAGAATTTAGCCTCGTTGTGAGTTGCTCCTTCATGGAAATGAATGGGATGGTAGGCACCTCTAGCCCCATTACAGCTTCTGGAGTGCCCTTAGTCGTGGTCTTCCAAAGGAGGGAGGACTGTTTGGTTTTTTGTCTGTGATTGGCTGCAAAATGCACCCTTAAACTTCACCAATGGTGTCTAACCCAACTTCTGCATAAGTGTGAGAGAGAAGTCCAGACATTATGTTCTCTCGAAATATCCAGAGATGTGGGTTGCAGCATTTGATAGAATTTGGAGGACCTACTGACAAAGCAGATACATATTTTTATAACAAAATATATTTTAACCACAGCTGGAAAGGCCATTTGAGTTCAAGGATAAATTTTTCAGGCCCATCTCCAGCAGACTACTTGCGGGATGCTGGGAAGGCAGGTCCTGTCTTTGTTGCCCACATATGCACACTCGATGGGATGGCGTAAACGTGTTGGTGTGAGCTGAGTGGGATTTGGCTGTGGCCTGCAGCTACTTCCGTGGTGGTGGTGGCTGCAAAACCCCTACAAGAAATGGAAATGGATGAAGGCCGTCTCTGTCAACAGCCTTCTTTGTGGACCTTTGTGGGAACGTCATTGTCTTCCCCCCTGCTTCAGCTCCTGCCCTTTCCTTCTCTCTCCTCTTGCCTTTGCAAATGGGGCTGGGGGATGGCGTGTGTTTCTGGAGAAGGCTTCAGGGTCCTCCATCCAACCCCACACCCCAGGAAGCTCCAGAACCCCTCTTTCTTCTCAGACACCCCTGTTCCAGGATGCCCGGTCCCCATTCCCGGAATGTTGACTTCTGTGGTTTGGCTTCCTTGTCCCTCTGCAGATTTGGTTGAGTAATATAACCTTTCTCTCTCCTTTCCCTGTCTCCTTCAGCCTGGTAAAGCCCACGCGCCACTATACAGTCTTCCTCTTGGAGGATTCTTCCGGCGATGAGCTTCCTCAGGAAGATGAGCCTGTCTCTGCCTTCTCTGACAGCTTCCTGTTCTCTGCTCCTTTTGAATGGTCTCTACCTTGACTCTCGCTATACCAACCCTATCGCTAGCACTGCTCCCCAATTTGCTGATGCATAAGTCTTCCCCTTGCTTAGAGGCTTCTGTGGCAAGTGTCATGTCTGTGTGCACGCATGCTCCCCGCATATACCCCTGGCCACAAGCAACCGCATTCTGGTTTCTGCCAAGGACGGCCAAGATCCACTCTTCTCCTACGCTGGCTTGGATTGGCGCTTGATTTTCCTGCATCTTCCCGACTCTCTTGCCACTCCCCAGCACCCCTAAGGTGAATAACCAGCTGCAAGCAGAAAGCAACTAGGAGATGACCTGGGGTGAGGCATGGAGAGCGATGGGAAGGAACAAGGGAGAAGGGATGAGGAAAACAGGTCTTGTCAACTCTGCATGGAAGGGAGTCAACCTTGGAGGGGGTTGGCCTGAATGGAGTCAGGTGGGTTGAAGGAGGGTTTGGGGCATCGTTCCAGGCTGGTCAGAAGCATCTCCAGGAGAAACTGTACAGCAGAGAATTCTAGACCCTTGAGTACCAGTGCCCACCTGGCTCTGGTAGGACACCCGGTCCTAATGCACGTGGGAATCCAAACCGTCGTGTGACCCAAGTCTCCATTCTGCCCAAAGGCTCAGTATTGCCCCGTCTGAGCAAACCACGTCTCCTCCTCGGACAGAGGATGGAGCAGCCCTGTGCTAATGAACTATCAAGGGGCTATTTGTCGAGGCACCAGAGGCAGACAAGGCTCCTGCCCGGCTCTTCTCTTTCCTGTTGCCTTTCTGGTGTCCCCCACCCCACCCCACCACCTCCAATCTCAAGTCTTGTTTAAAGAGCTTGGGGAGGCTGATTGCCAGTCAAACACCTCCCTGGAAATGGGTGTTAGTTGGGGGTGTTAATTGGATGTGCATTGCACTGCCATTCCCTAACGTGGGAGTGACATGCGAATCACAGTGTTGGACGCCTATTTGCTTCCTGCTCAGTCCTCCTGACGGACCATGGGGGAGACGCTGCGGTAATCATCGGGGATCCACCAGGGCTGGTCTTTGCAGAGTCAGCTGGAGCCCAAGGGAGACCCTCCCTCACAGTGCTTCAGCTGGTTCCAGGGGCCCTGCACGACTTTCTTGCTCAGTAGGTTGTCATCTTTGATCCACGGAACCCATTTCCCACTGCAGTCGCATCCTTACTTCAGTTGATCTTATGCACATTGGAGGGAGGAGTCCTTGTGGCCCCCTGGGTCTTCAGATGCCTGATGTCTTCTAGGCTGGCTAAGATTTCCCCCTCTTTTCCCTTTACGGCGGTCCTCATCGTTTCATTGGCTTTGCTGTGAGAAATGCATGCTTCACGTCATACAGCTGGGGCTAGGCTGTGTCCTGTTTTTTGCTGAAAGCACTTAAAACACCAGCGGTACACCACGCCAGCGGTGCAGTTTTGAGTGGAGCCCTTGCGGGCTGTCCCCGTCTTCATGCTTGTGGCCTTTGCCAAACTGAGCACACTGGCCCCACGGCTGTGGGCTTCCAGCAGTCCTTGGGGTTGAAAACAAGAGGACAAACTCCTACCTGGGAAGTCATGTGGAGCTGTCGTCCATCAAACACCCATCAGATCCTTCTGGCTTTCTCTGGGCACGAAGGATGTCGGTGGATCTCTCTAGAGAAATCCTGCCTCTGAATTAACCATTGCTTTCCTCCTGGCAGGCCGCAGCCGTATCGAGCTCTGAAGGAATCTGACAGTGCCGATGGAGAGGAAGGGCTCAGTCCTGGGAGACTCCAACATGACAGCCACGCTGACCCACCCACTCCAGAAAGCCCTGCTGAAGTTAGTCTCCTGGAAGACATTTTTACAGGGCTGGAGGTAGAGTCACAACCACAGCCCCTCAGCCAAGCTAGGAGCTTAGAAGACCTGAGGATTTCCAAAGAGGAAGGGGACGAGCAGTGTTCCTTTGGTTATCAGGTATGGAACTTGGGTGGGTGGGGATGGCTGAAAAAGCCATCTGAGCTGCCGGTCCTGGGAGGAAATAAGGTGGCTGATTCAGAGATGAGTATCTTTGGTCCCTGGCTGAAGAGAAGCCAGATGGACAAGACCAGGGGGTGGGGTGGGAAGTTGTGCAGAACCGATGAGCGGGCATTTTGAAGTCTCGACAGGGCAGGGCCCTGGCAGAAGAAGGGGAACTTCAAGGTGATTCCAGGAACATTTTGCCCAAATGGATTTTGAGGAAATGGGATGAAGGTCTCTCAGTTGGCATGAAGGGAGAGATGGTTCCTCCTAGTGGGAGGAAGCTCCAGATCTGGGGGTCGGTTAGAAAGGAGAGGAACAGCGGAGAGTTTGGAGAAAGGTACCGATGATCTCTCTGTTTTCTGACAGCGGATGGATTTTGGTTTTTCCGAAAAGAGCTGGACCACCCCGGGGATGAAGCTTTCCCACCCCTATAAGCAGCTCTGGGGTCTAGGCCATGACGACATGGCCCTCTCCACGAAGTACTCCCCAAAATCTCCAGAGAGACCATTGAGAAATGTGCCTCCTGTCCCAAGGAGGCCTCAGAGCAGAGACAGCATCCTGGATCTCCCCGAGAAGGAAGTTGGGAGCTCTCCTGCTGCCCAAGGGAATATTACCATCCCGCGGCCACAGGGAAGAAAGACGCCAGAGCTGGGCATAGTCCCGCCACCCCCTGCACCCCGACTTTCCAAGCAGCAGGCCCCGCCAGAAGCTGCCCCTTGTCTTGCAGGGCCCGGCAGCCGGGCCTCCGAGCTCCTGCAGGAGACGTTTGCACCCAGAAACTTCTCTCTGGACCCTGACCTCCGGCAGCTGGCTGGCTTCATTCCTCACAAAACCCAGCTTTCGTCCAACGCCGTCAGCGAAGCAGAAATGCTCCAGCCCGTCAAGGTCAATGCGGACAGCGTGAGCGAAGACAGCGACTCTCTCCTTGCCCTCCTAGATCCGCTGAAATCGGGGAACGCTCAGGAGGTTCGCTTTCCACCAAGCTCCGGAGGCCAGCTCGGTTCCTCGTCTCTCAGCCCTGCAAGCAGCTTCCCGTCGGCAGGAGAAGACCTCATGCCATCCACATCGGCGCCGTTTCATCAGCTCCTGGGATACCATCCCTCTGGGACACCGTTTGCACAGCCGTCTCTCAACCCGTTTGTACAGGCAGTGCCAACGCCTCTGCCGCTATCCCTGGTGAGGCCCGCGGGGGGGCCATTTGCTCCCTCGCTGGGCCACGCTTATAGTTCCAGCTACATCACCTCTAACTCTAGCTTCTTCCAGCCCCAGAGGCCTCCCCCCAACCCTCTGACACTCTCCATGCCCAACCTCTTTGCCAAGTCTCCATCAGCCCCACCACCAACTCAGCCTCTTCCCCAGAGCAGTGTTCCTCGGCCAGCACAGCTCTGTGGCCCCTCTAAGATCCGGACATTGCCTCTTGCTCATTCTGTGGTCAAGACAAGGCTGGCTGCGAGGCCCAGCAATCTCCCGCTAGTTTCCCCCAAGACCAAGGTTGCGGAGTCCGTCTTGTGCCCTTCTAAGACTCAGGTGGCTAAAGACCCCTTTGAAGACTTGTTAAATAAGACCAAGCAGGAAGTTTCAGTCACGCCCGGTAAAGTTGAACAGCTGAGAAGGCAGTGGGAAACGTTTGAGTGACTCCAGTAGCTCCTTGCGTCCTAGGCTGTGTGTTGAGTCAGTACAAAAAGCAGTATTCCCCCAAGCAAGAAGGGTCACCCAGCTGACACAGCGACCCAGGGGCCACCTTCTGCCTATTAGGAGGAGGGCCTGGCTAAACCCTGAATAGAAGCAAGGTGTCCCCCGCTTCCCCTTTTAGCCAACCACCATCCCCGGAAAGGTGATCTCGGCACCTTGCCGTTCTTTCACCTGTCCTCAAGATAAGTAGAGGATCGATGAAGGTTCGGCTGCTCTCCTGGCCTCTTCTTGGCCTCATTTGCATCCCCAGATTCATGAGCTGGTCAACTCCCATCCATCCCCAGGTGAGGATTTGCCTCCATACCAGTATTGACTTTAAGAGTCTACTCTGTCTTTTCCTTAGCTGCAGATCACATTTTGAGCACAGTTGCCCCATCCCAAGCCACATGGATCACGAGACTTCTGAGCCTTCTGGGTTAATTTTTTTACCTTCTCCTTCATACAGTTACATGTGTTCAAGGCCATGTGCTGTTCTCCGAGCCCCTTCCCCGTCCCTCCCAGTTCTGCGCACAATGCTAAGAAACCCCTTTCACATCCCAGGTTTAGCATTCATGTTGTAGCACCACACCATTTTTCAGGGAAGCAATGAAATGTCTTTTCCTACCTATCAAAAAGTTGGACCTACCAGCAGCCATTACTTTTTTAGAGCAAGACACATGATCCCTTTACCAAGGTTTCCCCAAATCCTTCTCTAACCATGCTAATATTGTATGAACATGTATATGTATAGATATAAAAGTGTTACTAGGTGGCTTCCTTCCCCAGCCTGGTGGGAGTCCATATCTGGAGGTTCTTGTCTAGTATGAAAGGCGTGGAGGGCCTGCAGCATCAACGCCAATCTGCTGCATGATGGAACACGGGTTGGGGTGACAGGCATAATTTCTTTAAAGCAACTTTTGCCCTGAGTGTGGACTGGTTGCCTTTGGTCTTCATAACCTGAAAGCCGAAAGAAGTCTGCCTTCTCTCTTGTTTCTCAACTCCTGCTGAAGGCCAGGTTCTCCCTCCAGGCTGTTTTGGAAGATGAAAGCTCCACCATGCCCCAAAATTCAGACCTGCTTAAGGACCTGTTGGTACACCTGCCTCTGTTTCTTTTCGTCACTTAAATTTGGGGGATTTTTTTTTTTAATTGGGGCAGTTTGTGGTTGTTTTAATTACTGTCGTGTGGGAATTAGGCTAGCCGGTTCTCTATATTCACAAGAACTCACCACGTACAAATGTGAGAAGCCACTCTTCTGTGCCACCTCTTTTTCTTTCCAATGGGTTTCATTTCAATTTCTTTGACCCTTTTGAAGTTTTCCTACCAGCTGAAGTGTTATTTTGGCTTCCATCTCCATGCCTAAGCCTGTAGAGTCCAAGAACATGATTGACTCCTCCAAATACTGATTGTCAGAGGACAACCTGTAGACCTGTTAGCATCATCACGCCTCTGTCCAAAACCGTTGCTTCTACAAGGCTTTCTCTGTGTTTTGTATGGTCACTTTTGCTGAGGGGGAGGGGGGAAACTATGTTTTTGATATTACCTACTTCCGGATAGTAAAATATTTAAAGTCCACCAAACAGGCGAGTGTTGGTTTGCTTCTTAAAAGATTGGTGTATGGAGTGGGAATAGAGTGCCAATCTTCAGGCTGGGTCTGTGAACGGCCACCCTGGCTGGGCTTAGGATCAGTCTAACATCACATTATGTTCACAAAGGTGCACCTAGAGCAAACTGTACTCAGATCTGCTGCTTTAGAATATGGCAGAGATTTAAACCTTTGAGGCTGTGAGCTGGAATAATTCATAATCTCATTGGCATAAAATAGAACTTGGTAGAACAATATCAGCATGTTTTTCTGGAAAAGCAGTTCGGGGACAGAAAACCAGATGCAACTGAGAGAGGACCTTGGAGGGACTCAGCACACTGAGGACTACCTTGACATCAGGAAGCATCTACTTTCTGGTAAGTCCCCCATGACCACCACCAACCCCATTCTTTTTGACAAATGAACTATTCTGATAAGTTGGTTTCTCATTTTCCTGAGGCGGTTGACCTACCTTCCACTTTGGGCTCCTGGACAACTGGAGGCCCCAACTCTTGCCAGTTTGACCCACTTGGAGTTAAAGAGCCCAGATCATTTTTCTCTGTACATTTTTAATTACAAAGGGATTACCAGAATTTTTTTTTTCTTACATATATGTAAATGTTCTATCTGGAGCAAAGTTTTGTGAAAAAATAAATCCAGAATTAAATATCAAAAGTCAGTTAAGTTCACATTAGAAAACAAAAAATAAATTAAATGGCAGAGGGGTTAAATCTGTGGTCGATGTAATGGTGCTCAGAGCAAGTAGAGGGCAGAATGGCTATTTCTTTGAAGAGGAGGGGCACATCCATTTTTGTGTGGTATGATGGGAAATAAAATTGGACCCCTTTGGCATAATGACTAATCTTCAAACTAAGTCTGACATAAGGTTTCAGTGCATTGCGAGGTCCGGGTAAGTGAGTCAAGTGATGGTAAAACTAAGATTCAGGCCGACATTAACACCTGCAATAAGTCATGATGACTTGTAATTTGTAGCTATCCAAACACTATGCAAATCTCTTTTAGGAGGGGTTGGTCGTTTGCTAAAAGAGGCTGGAGGGTCTCCATAAGTGGATTCAAAGAGTATCTGATGAATCTGGTTCCTTCCCATCAATTTTCCATCTGTCCCTCTGATATCACAGGGGATTCAAAGAAAGTTGGTCAAGTGATTGTTTCTGGTGCATTGGCTGGGTGGCAGCTGAGAAGGATTTTTCTTCCTCAAGGTTAGGGAGGCACGATCTACTTAGTCTGCATTTACTCAGCTTGTGTGAAATTCACCACCTGAATGGACACCTCTGAGGTCTTCAAGGGGAAAAGCTGGACTAATGAACCTGGAGCCTTGCAAGATGCCTCAACAAGCTGGCCCAGGTTTTCTTGGCTCTGTCTTTAGGCTTGACCTTTCCTGTCTTTGGGAGAAGGAAGATAGGAAGTTTCTTCCCTCCTGTGCTCACTGTGCAGGGGGAATTGTCCGTGGCTGGTTGGAAGAGGCACATTTTTCAGCCAGTACTTCCTGTGGCGGCCAAGTTTCCTTTCTTGATGAATTGTGATTACTGTAGCTAACACTCAGGGAGGGAAGTACATCTAAGTCTGAGAGATGGGTTGAAGTACCACATAAGCCTCTTGGGGGAAAAGCGGTTTCCTTTTGCTTGATTTGCACTTCTGAAATATTAACAACAGTCCTCCCACAACGCTACTTCTCCTCAGCATCAGCAGGAACCCAGCAGCGTTCTCCTTTTGCTGTACGAATTCACACCTCCCCTGATTAAGCCAGGCTTGAATTTTGGGGAGTATGTAGTGTTTCTGAAAATATTTCTCACGGTTCTTCTTAGTTGCACTGAAATGCCAACAGTTGTAGGCCACAGTTGGCCACACATGCAGGTGTCTGGTTCATGGCATGGGAAGAGAAGTACCTTCTCCCAACCAGGGTCCTGTGGCTGCTTCTTGGAGGATAGGAGAGGAAGAGAGCAGAGTTGCCACCACATCTGTCCATGGTTCCTTGGACTGCTTGTGGCTGCATCAAGGAGGGAGGAAGGAATGGGTAAATGGCTTATATTTCAGCCTGCACTGCAACAGGAGAAATCCTCGTTAGCAAGAGTTAAACTTCTAACTGCTACATTTTAGTGCAGAAACCTGAACTTTTCCTGGGAGAAGATGGCTCTTAAATAGCATTCTTTGAGAGGGACCATTTCTGTACATATCAAAAAAATATAATTGAAGGGTGAGATGAAGTGAAGCTAAGAGATTTTCTGTTAATACCGTTTCAAGTGGTTTGTTTACAAGGCACTGTAGGATGCTGTATTGTACATGAATGCATGAAGAGGGTCACAGAAATTGTAGGTACTTGACTCTCTCCCAAAAAGGGTAATGATAAGATAATGTTTTGTTCTGTGGGAGAGGAAGCATCTTGCTCAGTGGATTTTGGACTTTTTGTGGCGCGTTATTTGGGTTAAGCAGGGGGTTTTTTTGCTTACCCGCTTCCGTCTCCCGGCTGCTGTGTGACTAATGATCAGTGTGCAGTTTGTGTTGGGTTCTCAGCCATGAGCTGCTCAACCTTTCACCCTCAACAGGTGAGCTGAGCAATCCAAACACAACAGGCTTCACCCCTCTAGTCCTGGTCCTTTTTCCTTTGTATCCTCTGATGCTAGCTCCCATTCAGCAGTGGTGGACTGTCATGCAGCACCAAGGTCCCAAGGAAGCTGTGGATGTTCTGACCTTCTGGCCAACTGGTCTGGCTGCAGGCAGGGCCCAGACGACACTGGTCACTGCAATGGATGGGGGAGAGAGTTCAGAGACATCACTGCTCCCTATCCATTGGCATTCAACTCAGCAGCGGTACTGTTGACCTTCCGCATCTCAACTCATACCCCGTTGTCTCCTGGTGGCTTGGTTTGTTGGTTTCTCAAGCAGTCCATCTCCTCTTCATGGCCACCCCTGAGATGCCAGAGGTGGTGATAAACAGCCCCAGCAATTCCATGGCCTCATGCTGATCCCCATGGTGGGACAAGATGTCCTTGACCATTTGTAAAGCATTTCAGACAACTGCACGTTCCTTGTGAGCCTCGTCCATAACTTGGTCATTTGTAAGGGAGCGCCATTAGCAAGATCCCCCTGGAGCAGTCCTGTAGGCAATGCACAGATCTAATAATAGGCTTCACTCTTGAGTGGCGAAAGTGAGGAAGTGCATTTGCCCAGCTGCTGACGCTGTGCCCTAATCTGGCCTCTAGTTTTATCCAGTCCTGACAATTTAGGAAGCCGTATGCCTGGCTCCTAGAAATGAGGCCTCTGCATCTTTCCTCCCACGTCAAAAACAGAACCGCCACCACCCTCTTGAGCAAGTAGAACCTGTGAGAATGTCATGACCGTCCAACCCAATAAGACCACTAACCCACACTGGTTTTTGCAAACACTTGCTGTGGATTCTGAGAGTCACCCTTAAACCACAGAGAGGCAGGGATTTGGTGCTCATTCTCTTGAAGGCTGGTTAATGCTCCCAGATCTGTGGGCGATTGTCCTTCTCAGAGGAACTCGCCAAGGCAGCCTGTGGCGTTAGAAAGCAGTTCCAAGGCATGGGATTGAGAGGCTAGCTGCTGCCAGCGTCAGAGAGGAACCCACAAGGCAGATGTGTAGGCACTCACAGTTCCTAGCTGCAGAGGTGGTCAGCCACTCAATGTACGTGCAACTCCACTGCCCTCCTGGGCTTTCAGAGGGCGCGGAAGGAGACCTACACTGCTCGTGCTCCAGTGCCAACATTGCCCCACTAAGGCGGCAGTGCCTATATTAAACGCTCCTCCGGTGGCACTTTGAGTACACTGTCCATCTCCAGGCGGGCTCCGGCCACTTCCTGCTGGCTTGGGCTGTAGGTTCCCTCGGACTGGCGCCTCTTCCGGGCCGTGAGGATCATCAGGACCAGGATGATGACGAGAAGAAACAAACAGCTGCAGACCACAGGCACCGCGACTTCCACCAAGGGGAATGGGAAGACAGCGCCTGGGAGACCCCCCCTCTGCAAGAGAAGTTAATGAAGAAAAGATGAGTCTGGATAAACGCCGCTCAATTGTCCTTGAAGGGGAGAAGGAGGGGAGGTTACGTGCAGCTTCCGCCCCATGTAAACCAGGAGCAAATCCCAGGAGTCTTAAACAGGTGTTCCTCATCAAGAGCCAAGGGTCAAAACTGTCATTTCCGTTTGCAACTCCTGCCAAATCAAATCTGCCACAGAGATAAAGAAAGGGGTCTTTGGGTGCTGGAGAAGGGAGAAGGCTGAACCAAGAGAAAAGGTGAGCAGAGAACATCCAGAGAGACATTTTCGCCAGTTCACATAACTACCAGCCGCCAGAGTCATTGAGGGAATGCCAGATGTCTGTTCAAGATTCCCTCTTGAGGACCTTCTCACAACCCACCCTCCATTGGGGACCTCACCTGCAGAAGCTCTCTCCAAACTGGCAGAGCTTCCTCATCAAACCATAGGAGGTTGGTGAAAGCCACACTAAAAATACCAGACGCCTGCCAGCCCAGCACTGCTGCCACCTCAGAGCAAAACCAGGACGGGGAGATTTGTAAGTAGATAATAAGTGGATTTTGAACTCTGCCTCAAAACAATTAGATGCATCTGAGACAGCGTGTACCTGAACAAGGTCATCTGCTTAAAGAGCCCTTTAAAGCAAGGGCTTGCTCCACCAGCCTGCGAAATTGCCTTATTATATTTTTTTTCTCCTCCCCACAGCTCCTTCCTTCCTGGGCTTCCTACAATCCCCAGCCCCTAATCTTTCAAACTCCCCTTGCCCTGTGCCCCTGTAGTATTTATCTAAAGTGTTTTGAAGACTGCAAACATTCCAGCATGAAACTACTTGATTAAGTTTTGATGATAGATCAAGAACCTGTCCCTATGACAAATTTTGGATGAAAAGTTGACTTTCCTCCATCCAAGCATCGGCGGGGAAGGAGGAATACAATACAACCATCTTGGCTTAATCTTTGGAAAGATTTTAACTGCTTCCTTTCTGGGTCAGGCAAGTCTAGGGGAAAACCCGTTATCCCAGTAAGAAAAGAGAGAAACTTGCTTACGTCAAGATCGCAGTATTCTCCAGCATAGCTTGCACTACATATGCATCGGAACCGATTCATGGAGTGCTGGCATGTCCCCCCATTTTTGCAGGGGTTGGGGTCACAGTCACTGATGTTGATCTGGCATCTGGAAATAAAACGAGGCAGGAATCAGTCACGGCCTTCAAGGAACAAGGAACAGCGTGAGAATCAAAGAGTAAAAGGGGGGCTTAAAGAGTAATCTAGCCATTCGGGCAAGATGGTGGATCAAGGGCCGCCCATCGTACTTCTTCCCTGTGTAGCCAGTCTTGCAGCTGCAGTTGGCTCCCCACGGGCCACTCGTACATTTGCCGCCGTTCAAACACGTGAAGTTCTGGCCACATTGTTCAGGTGGAAAGGGCCACCTGGAATTAAAAAAGAAGCAGGAAGAGAGAAGGTGATAAGAATCTTTATTTAGAAGCCAAACATTTGTAGGCACCGTTCAAGAAGTTGAATACCCACGTCAGAAGTTGCTTCTGCAGACTTACAGCCTAATGTGGGAGAGAAGAGGGCATGGAGCTTCATAAGGACTTCAGGAAATGGCTTCCTGCATAAGGCTGTTTGGCAAGCCATGTGACAATTGGCTTTACTCAGGTTGGTGATTGTGTCCTGGTCAAGTCTTCTAACACCAGCAGCTACTGATGGAAAGATGGATATCAGCAAAAGTGCTCCCTGGGGGTTTCCAGCAGGCAGAAGAAAGCTAGAAACTGCCCAACTGGGTTCATCCCTCTAGCCCATATGACCTGCTCCAATGTCTTTGGGCAAAGAACTTTCCCATCACCAGCTACCAGCTCTTTAGCAAATTGTAGGGGTCTATGCTAGAGATCCCTAAGGTTGATTTTCTGCACCGAAAGCAGGGGCTCTACTGTTGAGAAGTCACTCTTCTCATCTAGGGCTTACAAGAAGGAACCTAAAGTGGGATGAGTAGTATCTTGCTAAGTCCTGTCTCCTCTCTGAATGCCTGGAAAGTGTATGCCATTCACAGAAGTCTCTTGCACACAAAACACGGGCTTCTGAGCTGGTAGCAAGGACTCTGTGTGTAGGTCAAGCTTCTGTGTGGCTCACAGTCCTTGCACCAGATCGCTGTCCTGCTGATCTAGGCCATCCGCAAGGTGATTGTCTCCTGCACAATTTAGAGGTTAAGACTGAGATGGCAGTAGCTTCCTTATGGCCTGGTTGGAAAGAAAATTTGAGGTGGGATTCCCACAGCTCCTACCTTCGGGTACACATCAGCTCCAAGACAGAGCAAGAGAAAAGAGCAAGAAAGAACCCCCCCAGAATTCTCATTCTTGCTAGCCACCCCTCCTACAGACTTACTCGCAGAGGGGGCCAGAGTATTGTGGTGGGCAGTTGCAGGAGTAGCTGTAGACTTCATCCACGCAGCTCCCTCCATTCTGGCACTGGTGCCTCACGCAGTCGTCTACGTTGATATGGCAGCGCTTCCCAATGAAGCCCCTCTTGCACACACACTGGAAGTCTCCCTCCTGGTCCACACACTCCCCGTGAAGACACGGGCTGGATTTGCAGTCATCCACGTTGGTCTCACACAGCGGCCCTTCCCACCCAGGCCTGCAGGCACAGCTGAAGGCATTGAACAGATCCAGGCAGGAGCCTGCGTGATGACACGGATTAGAAGAACAGACGTCTGCTCCTTGGCAGCCCAGAAGGACCGGCCTGCTGGTCACCTGCACAAATTGTTCTGGCTGTGGGTAAACTGGGTGACTAGCCAGAGGCAAAAACAGCCCCCCGATGTCTACATGTCCAAGGCAGCCAGTGAAGTTTTCACCCAGGACAACGAATGTGTTGCTTTTTAAGAAATCCAGATTCCCAGCATTCCCCAGGAGGGTTGCATTGGTGGATCCATCCAAATGGAGGTGCCACCTTGATGAAAGGGCCAAAGGCTCTTCCATGGTCAATAAGAGGGTGTGCCAGGAGCCATCAGAGACGGGCATCTGCCTGAGAAAGTTTGCTCCCTCAACTCCGTTCCCGCTCCGGATTTCAACCAGCAGGGAGGAGTTCTGAATAGCCACCAGAAGAGAATCCACTTCCTCTGCTGCTTGTATCAAGACAGCATCGTTGTCCCGCGTTCTGAAGTCCAAGCGGAGGCTGTGAAGAGCTCTGACGATGGATGTATTTGCTGCGAATTCAATCGCGTCGTGCTCGTAAAATGTGGCGTTGGCCAGACCTGCAAGAAAGAGAAGATGAAATGGTAATCGAAGATCATGAGTGGAAGATTGCCCTAGAAGCACCGCTACCAGAAGCTGAGTTTTGGGGGCTTTGGGAACAATCCTCCCTAAATGTGCAAGGAAGGCTCATGCTTCAGTCAAAGGCCCAGCTGAGGCCATCACGATGACCGAGATCCTAAGCTGTCATCAATGAGCTCATCGAGAAGACAAATAAAGCAAAAGAAAAGGTAGACATGACCAGTGAAAGTTCCTTGAAGCTAAAACTGATGGCCAAAAAAGAACTGACCAGGAGGGCGTGAGTCATATCTCTTGAACTTCATTTCAGAGGGTGTTGGAAATGCTCCTGTTCGAATTCAAAGAGTTCCCTAAAAGGAGCTCCCCTGGAATGGAAAATGGATTCTACAGAGGCTTACAGAGAAGAATGTTCAGGATTTGTGCCTGACCCCGTGACTTGGATTAGTACTACCTAACACCCTCCAAGCCTTCTTTTTAAAGAGTTAGTGGGTTGAGTGTAGTGGGGTCTACCATAGGTTTGTACTAGGCTGAGAGCAGAGGAAAAGGGTCTCCAGATCCTGTTTGACCCTGTAAAAGATGACTATTTCTGCAGTAGCCTAAAATTCGCAGAACACTTACAAACGTAACCAGAGGGGACATCAACGCAAGTGGTAGGTTGAGGACACAGATCACTTTTGCACCAGACTCTCTCCTCACACCACTTTCCAGTAAAGCTGGGTGGGCAACTGCAGTTAAAGTCATTCCAGGTGACAGCACAGAGGCCACCATTGAGGCATGGGGAAGACTGAAAGACAAAAGAAACTTGATCAGGAAAATGGTGGAAAAAATGTTCTCTATAGAAATGAAATGGGCCATGCGGTTGAATGCAAGTGGATCAAATTATGAAGAAAAGATGGATTCTGTATCTGCTGGTGGATGTGGATTTATAGGTGGCATAGCTGATCATCTTCCTTGTACTTCTGGGGACCCCCAGTTTTTAATTTCTATTTGTACCTGTCCACCCCCACCACCTATCCAGTTCCATCTCTTTTAACTCCTCTGCTCCAAACAACATTTTGGACATTGGTGAGGCGCTCTGCTTGCAACCCCATGCTCCCTTTTTCTCCAAAGAAGACCAGCCTTACAGCAGAAGATGTTGAGTGTTTGGATGACGTCTGATGCTGATTAATGACTGTAGGTAGCGGGATTGGACTCAACCTGAAGAAACCTCTCTTGATGGTCAAATCGGATGCTCTGTAAATAATCCAGGCCACGCACACAGCACGGCTGCAGTGAGGAAGAAGCCTGATCCAATGTGTACAGGTGGTAGAATTCAGAACTTGGATCATTAGCATTCCCACTCTTGGTGCCTCTAGTTCCCCAGATCCAAACCACGGCAAGATTGAAAGGCCGCAATGCATGCAGGGAATGGCCTTGCAGCTGAAGATGCTTTTTTACAAACACAGCTTGGGGGCATGAATACATGCTGGACATCTTGAGGATAAGAGAAAATCCATGCTTCACCTTGCTGGATGTCATGAGTCTTGCTCTCCAGATACCCCTTCCTCTGGCCGCACGGGAAGCAAGAACACAGCAAGGAAATGCTAAATCTCTAAGAGCATCTAAGCCAGTCCCATCAATCTCTTGGCATAGGCCACTCTCCAAAGCCAGCTTAAGACAGAAGCAACTACGAAGCTGCCACCCCCACAGGTTCCCCACAGGTGCATGTGCTGGAGCCTTTCAGCATGAACATGTGAACCGTTGCACAGCACAACGCTTCCTCTGACAAATTTGCTTGCCACCCTCTTGCCCACAGGAGTCATGCCAGGTGAGGCTTAGTCACTGGCAAGCACCAGTGCAGAAATTCTGCTAAGCTCTTATTTTGCCTGTAACCATCAACCAATGTCTGACATTCCTCCACAGTTTATCACCTCTGAGGATACAAATACAATGCTACAAGTAAACAGGCCTTTGCTCCACCCAGCACAGCACCCACAGAGATGTTTTCTCCACATTCAACAGTATCTTGGGCCATCTTTAGCATGATCCTTACCTTGCAGGCATTATCTGAGATGCATTCTGGAACAATGTTGTGGTTTTGTCCCATATACACGTCTTGTGGAATGCTGTTATTATCTGGATGAGGGAAAAACTGCATCTGGTGATGATTGAGTTGGACATCCTGAAGACAGCCTTTAAAAGGACCTCCCCAGATGTCAAGGTTGTCTTGGTGTGGGAGTCCACCCACGTGAATCTCAGAATAAGTGGCAAGAAGGGTTACTGCCAGATCTCCCAGTTCTTCCTCGCTGTTTAACAGGCTGACACGAGCCTGTCCTTGATGGAGGGAAACCATCACAAAGTGTCTTGTGCCATCGGCGAGATTTCCAGACGATCCAACAGGAGTAGCAGATGGTGCCTCGATCTGGAGCTTCCCATCCTTCAAGTATACTGTAAGGAAAACTTCGCTTCCATTGCTGATCTGGAATATTAGGCCACTGGGCTTCAGAGTCCGGATGAAAAATGAGAGGTTAAAGTTCATCCCGAGACTGTTGTGCACTGCAAAGGTGGCAAAGCTAGAAGAATTGTCTTGGCCAAAGGTCGCTGCAGGGGATTCTGGGAAAGAGAGAAAAATGCATTCCAGTTCCAAGCCAAGGAAACCAAACTACTCTGAAACTGGTATGGGTTCAACCATCACCTCCCTGGGGGAACTTTCTGAATAGCTTCTATTGGGTGGGACAGTATTCTCAGAAGACCATGGAGTCCTGGGCTCTAGAATTGTTTGGCATAATCTCCACGAGGATCTTTAATGATTGTGACAATTTCCTCTCTCTCTGTCTTCCTCGATCTTTGATAAATGGGGATGTAGAGCAACGGGACCCCAAAACATATTCCCTTTATTCTGTCAAAATCAAACAGATGACCTACCTCCCTACCACAGGCTCCTATCATTGTCTCCGAAAAGGTTTTTGTTTCTAATCCAACTTTCTGCTCTCTCAAGAGGGTTAATAGGAGCTCTGTCATTCTACTCACCGTAAGAACAAGTGCGACCTTCATAAGGCCGAGAACAGTGACAGCGGAAGTCCGTCCAGAGGTCAATGCATCGGGCGCCATGTGAGCAAGGCTGAGACTGACACCACTCTGTTCTCTCACAGCCCAGCTGAAATCCAGAAGGCTGGTGCCCGTCTACCTCCTGTGGTAGGATGACCTTGGAGTCAATCTGCAAGTCTTCCAAGCACCCAGTGAAGTGTCCTGTGTAGTTGGTCGTTAATTTCTCTTCAACGCCTCCAATATATATTTGCAGAAACGAAGGCAAAAAGGACACTGGGATTGTCTCGCCAAGGGGGTGACTGTACAGGCAGATACCAGCTTTGCAAGCTTCGTGCCACAGCCTGAGTTCAAGAGACTCTTGCAGAAAGACTTCCACTTTGTGCCAGTGGCCATCATTTACCGGTGGGGCCTCCAGTGTGAAAGATACATTGGCCTCCTGAGTCAAAAGCACCACCCGTAGAAGGCCAGCATAGAGTTCCAGGAGTAGGTACTCAGCTTGGTAGCCGCGGTAGAAAAGGAGGCCATCAGGAAGGGTGGTCCGGAACCGGAGGGCTACACTGGCTCCATGACCACTTGTGTTCTCACCATCGGCAGATGTGTTGATGAAGAGGTAGGCATTAGCTGTGAACGAGAAGGTGGTTGGTGTAGAGCAGGTGGGGCCATAAAATCCAGGGTGGCACTGGCACAGATAGCTATGGACCTCAGATTGGAAGATGGGAATGCACAAAGCCTCATTTTGGCAGTTGTGCGTCTTGCACCCAGTGAGCTCCACTGAGCAGTTCTTTCCACCCCAGGCTATGCCATCTGGGTTAAGGAAGCAATGGCAGATATAGTCCGCAATGCCGTCTTCACACACGCCTCCATTTTCACAGGGGTGGCCTTCGCATTCGTCAATCTCGTTGGCACATTCGATCCCTAGCACACAGAAAAGTAATGGGCAAGTGAAAATGGGAATGAGCTTCTGAGTTTGCACAACTCCACATAGTGAGGTTCCTCTCCACACACCGTAAGGAGGAATTTGAGCTCAGCTGGACTGGATTTCAGTTGGCCCTTGAAGGCCACAGAGAGGCCAGGCTAAAGCGAGGTGGAGATCCTGAAGTATTTGTGGACTGTTAAGAGACAATAGCCCTGATTAAGCAGCCTCTTGCCCCTTCAAACTCGCTCACACAGACTCTCACTAATCCCCAAGAATGCTGCACAGATAAACCACGTCTGGATTATTTATCTTAATAGCCTTACACTAGCCCACGAGGAGGAGTTGGAGCACAGTGAAACAAAATCTGCGTCTTCCTCTCCCCTGCACTGAGACAGTCTGTAGCCAGCTAGAGCTGGGTGGGATACTGCAGTGTTTCTCAATCTCAGCAACTTTAAGATGCATA